TACACAGTGTTCTAATAGGGGCTGGTAGCTTTTATTTTTATGTTTTATTAGTTACCCAAGAAGGTGAGGCTGATGAAGGATTAATAATGTACATGACATCCCACCCCAGTATTGCAACATTCCGTGAAACCAGTGAAAATGAGAACAAAGCAGGCAATATGCAGATAGGAGACACAAAAGCCAGAACTTACACCCAACTATCTTCATCTCTGCATCAGAAAGAAAGGGGCGAGAATGAGGGGACAGCATAGAGAGAAAGAAGAACAATTAAGACAAACAGGAAAAGAGAAAGAACCATCACTAGCAGGTTGGTGATGAAGCATGCACTTTTATCAGGGGTCAAAAGAAAAGACAAGAGTGTTTTGTGCACAGGGGCAAGGGTCAGGGTCCTCTAGAGCAGTGTATTTCAATCTTTTTCATCTCATGGCTCCCTTGAACCTATAGTTGAACTTCCACAGCACATTTAAATTATAATGATAAAAAAAAAGAGTAAAAAAACACTCTGCTTTGAACTTCTTTTGAAAATAATTTAATCAATGATCTTTAAAATTTTCACGGCATACCTAAAATCCTCTCATGGCACACAGGTCGAAAATCACTTCTCTAGAGGGATGCTATGACTGCATAGCTGTCTTCTAATAGGCACGTTCAGGGCAATCGAGACTAGAACAGTAACTGTCTCAGCTCTAACTCAAGGAGGGGCAAAACATCCCTAAAGCGTAGTATTCTCTAGAACATAATTCTCAAAGGAGTCCCAGACCAGCATTATCAGTTTTGTTGAGAAATGCAAATTGTCAAGTCCTATCCCAATGCTACTGAATCAGAAACTCTTGGGAATGAGCCCAGAAATCTGTGTTTTTCCAAGCAGGTAATTTTGATGCATACTAAAGTTAGAGAAGCACTGCTTTAGTAAAAAACTTCATCATCAGTTAAAACAACATACTAAATCATAGATAGATTTCTTATAACAACACAGAAGACCATTTAACTAATATGAAACTTGGCCCATATCACCCACAGTTAATGATAACCTTAGAAATTCAAGGTTCAGAAAACAGGTTAAAACATAGAACCATGACAGAATCCTGTATTTCCAATCACTCCAAGGTACAGACTTTCAAGGAAAGCTAAGACATAGAGCCATTGATTGTAGAGTCAAATCTCTGTTAGCTTAGACATGTCTGGAAAGGAGTACAACCTCTTATTGAGCAAGAAGTTTCAAATTGTTTTTCTCAGGGTATAGTCTTTTGGCTGAGAGTTTTATTCAGTCCTATTATGGTTAATCCTGACATAAGAGTCACAGGGACCAATTTTAATACCAACTCATTCACTAGAACACTTATTATGCTCCTCTTTCCTGACCATTTTCTTTCAAAATCTAGGAAAGGGGGGTGGTGCCTGTGGCTCAAAGGAGTAGGGTGCCAGCCCTCTATGTCAGAGGTGGTGGGTTCAAACCCAGTCCTGGCCAAAAACTTAAAAAAAAAAAAAAATCTAGGAAAGGACTAAAAGTCTGTCATAACTCTATAAGCACTGTTTCTTAGTTTTTGTACTTAACTAAAAGGAGTTTGGAGAGAAGAAAAAAGTTCTCACAGGAATATGGTGATCAACCAAAAAGAGGCATTAGGTGCTCAGTTTAAAAGAAAATGGCTAAATTCTCATATCTATTTGTTCATCTAAAATGCCATCTAAAATGGCATTTCCTGGGTTAGCTCCAAGAACACCAGCATCACTGTGGCCTCTCTTACTCATTACTATGGGTCATTAGCAGAGCTAGATGGTGGTATAGTCAGGGCTTGAGTTGTGGCATAGAGCAGCTCCTGCTTGCAGCAATATGGAGTGTATGTACACACCCATGGAAAGCAATGGTGGACTGTCAGAAAGACATTTTAGAAATGGTATGTCAGATACTGGTGTGGCCAGAGCCTGTCCAAACTCTTTCTACTAGCCCTGCCAATCTGCTTTGACAAGAATCTGTCTGTACCATCCTGACAAAAGAACTCTCCAAATGTGTCTTATAGTTTCTGCCAATAGGTGATAGTATTAAAACAAGCAACAGAGTTTATGAATATTTCTATTTCTTCCATTTCTCAGACTTGTTAAAGTGTTGAAATACTCAGTTGTTAACACGATTTCCTTTTATTATTAAGCCAAGCTAACTCCATCTTAGATCTGAAAAACAAACAAACAAACAAACAAAAAAACCCCACCGTTCTGTGAGACTTTGTTATAGGTGGACATAACTCAGATAAGGGAGACTTGCCAAAGAGGTTCATTGCCTCCTTGCACTGGTTCAGTTACAAACCCATGGGAAATATGTTTACACCACAACCCTCTGACACCCTGATAAGAGGAGCCACCTTAGAGAGTCCCAAAGTAAACTGCATGTCCTTGGTTCCCTGATAAGAAAGACTTTATATAGCCAGCTGCTCTTCAGCCAGCCATAAAAAGAACTGCCTCCCTCCCTAACATTACTGGCATTTCTTTAGATTTTAGCCTGCTTGTATCACAAACTTAGAATAAAATTCCCTGAATGTCTGTTACATTTGGTCTTGTGTGTTTTGCTCTGATACTTTGTTTTACCTAGGACTTTCTTTGTTCTTTCTCCTTGTGTTCATGCGTCAAGAAGAAGTTGCAATTTCTTGTAACTTGATCACACCAGCACTATGGGGGGCTGAGGGACTGCTGCAGCCCTGGCAAAATATTCCCACAGATGAAGAGTGGACCAGCTGCTGATGGAAGAGTGGCTAAGGTTTGGAAGACTCATCAAGAGACTTTTTACCACAGTCACTGTTTCCCAAGACAGCCTGATCACAATGTAAAACACTCCTACATACTCTCCTTGTTATTCCCAACAGTAAGCAACCTGCAGATGCAGCCCTACCAACTTGCACAAGGATCTGACAGTATACTGGGGTGCATTCATGCAGATGCAGTTGTTAACAGCCTATATTCCTGGGAATGACCATCTGTATAAAAAGCTTTCCTTCAGAAGAAAAAAGGTAGAGGTAGAGACAGTTTATATACAAAGAAATACTTTCTGCCTTTGAAATCAATCCTTCCTTTCTGTTACAGCACTCAGTGCTTCAAAGGCAAACATTCAGGAGTACCACACTTGTGTCCCCATCTTGAACCTCCAAGGACTGTCTGGTGTCGCTGCCTTAAAAGACAGATCATATGGCAGTCTCTTTAGCTGCCCTGAGGAGCAAAGCACCCTTATTCTCAGCTTTCTTTGCTAGTATCTGAAACTCTGTACTTCCATAGTTACGTATAACATACACAGAAATTCTTTATAGTCCTGTGTGCCAATAACACAAAGAGAAACACATACCCCTCAAATTATTTCTTTCCATGTGCTAGGTTTTGGAAATGTAACTTAAAATCAAATTTCACTTAAACACATTTTTGATTGAAGCTTGTTCCTTTCTAGTCTTTGTTTATCTGGCTTTAATCCAGTGAGGATGTAAAGGATATCAGTAAGGTAATGTCCAAATCTTAGAAAAACAAGTTCTTAAAAGAAAGGAAGGACTTTAAGTATTACTCTTAGAATATATTACTCTACCACAGAACCCTAGGTATCTAATTTTAAAAAGATCACTAGGTCAATTTCAGTAACCATCTAGATATATGCTTTTATTCAGAGCCACACTGCCAAGAAGTCAGAGACTATGCTTGGGTTCTTCTGTTCCTAATTAGGCCTAGTAAACTGAGGAATGATCTCAGCAGTCTGGGAGAAATGTTCTAGGAGGAAATTTTTTCATAAGTACGGAGTTTTCTCAGCATTTAGAGATAAACATAATTGATCTAGTGGCATAAATTTCTCATCCAAAAGACCCTCCTGTGTCCATAAGTAAATAAGGTTGTATGTAGAATCTTCCTCTGCATTCACACTGTGTATAGAGAGAGAATGAAGATGACAGAAAATAAATCTGGGTATATCCTAGAAAGTTGGAAGGCAACTGAAACCCACAGCATGGGCCTTCTCTATGCTCAGGATATATTACCCTTGGGGTCTATGCTGGTAAATGTTACTAACAAGAAGATTTAGTGATGCCCCATGAAGTACTCCAAATCAGTAATATTTAAAGTGGTTACAATCAGTTCAGTCTAACTGGGTCTAGCCCTTTTAAATAAAAGCAAATAAGCTTTTAGCAAAACATTAAACTCAACTGAGAGAGTAAGTTCACTCCTCCTGGAATCCATCCAATCAGCCTGACATTTGCTTGTTCTCATCTCCCTCTTCTTATTCACATCTTGTCTGCATGTTAGACTACTTGCTATCTATATGAACCATGCCTCTACCCCTTCCTACATTCTTGATAGCCCCCTCTGCTTTGCTGCCTCATTTGGATCCACTTCTCTATCCATACCCATGTCTACCTGACTAGGAATCACGGACCTGGTGCAACCACACTTAAGGGTCAGTGCCTTCCCATTGTGCCTTAGGTGAAGGATGTGAGACAATTCTTAAGAAACTGGCCAGGTAATACTATTCACAATGCTTAATTTATAGCATTTGTCCAATCTATTTTTCTGATACATTAAAATGTATCTGCTATTCCTAAACAAATGGGATTCACTGATACTTCAGACATGTATTTTGGTATATTCTTCTCCTTAAGAAGGAAGTTCTTGTGAGACAATTCTCTTCTAAGAAATGTGATACAAGAGAAAAGTATTAAAAGGCATCTCCATGCAGAGTTCTGTGTTGATTCCTACTATCCAGCCTCCAGAGGAGCAAGAAAGCCCATCTGCTATACTGTCATATCATACTGGTAAATGTGATATTGGGACTTTTGGAAAACAACATATACCTATAAGAGCCAAAGGGGTCCCTGGCTGCAGAATGCAAAAGAAAATTAGACTTGGGATACAGAAACTTACGTTTTTTGGCTATAAAGCTTGCTTCTATGCAGCATAATTCATCACTTGCTCAGTAGAGGAACATTGTACTCCATCCCCGTAACCCATCTTCCTCCCCAGCCCCAGGCAGTTCTGCTTACCTGGCATAATGACATCAGGAAATCCCAATTTTCTTGTTATTGCCAATCCCCTATTAAATATCATGGGATTTTCTCTCCGAATCTGTTCCATGTCTCCACGAAGAAGCTGTAGAGAAATGATAAGACCTGCGAAAACAAAATCATTTCCTTACTCAGACCTGTTACGTAGTATTAGGAAAAAAACATTAAAAGTCACATTCTCCAGAGGAATATATGCAAAGTTCAGCATTTTTCTTCTTGCTTAAGACTCCATGATATTTTCAGATCTTCCAGATAATCTTTGTTTCAAGCTTGGGAGAATGAATCTATAATGTCCCTTCAGGTGAGTTGGCTTCTGTGCTACCTGTGTACATTTTGAGTATTAACACAAGGTCAGAATCTTCTGAAATTCTCTCTTGCATTCCACTCTCCTGAGGGCCCCTACTGCAGCCACTAGCCAGAAGGCTGCAAAAGGCCAACTCCATATGGAAATAGCTCTGAGATTGTAAATAGGATTAGCTGTTAATAATAAATTTAGGGGCGGCTCTTGTAGCTCATTGGGTAAGGCATTGGCCATATACACCAAGGCTGGCAGGTTTGAACCCAGCTGAGGCCAGCTAAAACAACAATGAAAACTGCAACAAAAAAATAGCCGGGTGTTGTGGTGGGCACCTGTAGTCCCAGCTACTTGGGAGGCTCAGAAAAGATAATTGCTTAAGCCCAAGAGTTTGAGGTTGCTGTGAGCTGTGACACCATGACACTACACAGGGCAACAGCTGGACATTTTGTCTCAATTAATTAATTAAGGTGCTGCTCTATGGGTTGGCAGTAGGCACTCTCAGTGATTTGTAAACTCGGGTGAGAAGGGACACAAAGAAAGGGACTTCTTCAAGGGGGATGGGAGGAAAACCTGGCCTGTTGAACCTGGAAGTCTGCAGGGACATAAGAATATGGATATGAAGTAACCAAGGTAACCAAGGACTAATGGAATAGGAATCAATGACCCATAGAAAAGGGCAATACTGCCTGGAGGCACTGGGAGGCTGATGACTTGCAACCAAATTCAGAGAAAGTATTTATATCCCTGTAGGGACTTTATGAATCCATGTCTCTCTCTCCCTCTCCATGAGAGGGACCCACTTCCAACTCTGAAAGTACTCTAAACTTTCTCTTTGTTCTTAAATAAAATCTCTACTTGTTACCCTGAAACTTGTACAAGTTACTTTCTTCTCTACTCATGCTGTCTGTGCCACTTCAGTTTTATTTACAATTCCCATTCATTTTTACTTTTGATTACTGCCAGGCCTTGGTTGAACTTTCTAGTTAAGCCATTTAACTCAACTAGGTCAACTGAGTTAGAGGATCTGGGATTCCAACTGAGTTAGAGGATCTGGAATTGAATAGAATATGAATATGTATATAAAAGAGAGAATAAGGTTTTATGACAATGAGAATTATTAGAAGAATAGCAGCTGGAATGAATGAGAGATGAGAATAAGGGGTTATGACAATGAGTATTATTAGAAGAATAGCAGCTGGAATGAAGACAATAGCAAACAAAATTATAGAATTAGAATGGTATGGAAATGGGGAGTGATGAGGAGCTGGAGAAACAGAGAAAGAGGGAAGTCACATAGACAGAAGAGTTGATGATATTTTATCTGGCAGATAGAAGTATTCCAGTAATTAGAAATATGTCCTCCTCTTAGAGCTAGGACAGGGGGAAAAATAAGGTTCTACTGCAGCCCAGACAGAACCTTATGATTATCTTATTGCTTCTGCTAAGCTCATGCATCCCAAGAAATCCTGAAATTACAAACATGGTATTCCAAGTGTCATTAACATGAGTATCACAGTGCCCTGAAAAGCAAACATATGGCATTCCAGTTGACATTCTGGTTACATAATCAGTATTTGGGATTTAATCACTCTAGCCTAAGTATTCTTATAGCTTAATCATGGGTGGACTAAATTGCAATTCAATTTATGAACCTGAAGGCTAGGGCCAGAACCAAGACCACAATGATCTCTGCAAACAACAGCTTCTGCTGTATGACCATTCTCTTACAACCTTAGCTCATTTATCTTCATTGTCTGTACATAGCTAGCAAATCTTATCCTCTGGACAAAGACAAATCCACTGACATAGCAATCCCTACAGCCCAGCTTGAAGCAAATAGCTGAGGACGGAACAATCTCTAGAATTTGAGGGGATGGTGGTTGGAGGGCAAAGAAAAAAAATCAATGGATGCACTCTTATCATTCTGCATTTACAAGGATTTACTCAAGTACCCATTGACTGCTTTTTATCTGCATTTTCTGAGAAACCAAAATGGCCAATAAATTTGTAAAGATGGAGACTGATGGCACAGCTAGCTACCATAAGGGATCCAAAACAGCTTCTCCCCACCTTTAAACACAATAAATAAGAGGAGAGCTTCAGTTTACAGAAGAGACCAAGTGAAAAGGCAAATAAAGAATGAAAGAAATCACATCATGGATGGAGAATATAAATCACCAAAGCATCCCCTTTTGCAGGGGTTGGCATCCTGAAACATCTGGTTTTCCTTTCTGGTTCTGAAACCATGGGCTATTGAAGTATACACCAAATAATGCTAAGGAAGCCTCCATGAATAGTTCAGGCAAGCAACCCACTTGCCCACCCAGTATTCAACCGATTCCTTGGCAACACCTGGTGTTCAACCTACCCATCATCTCAGTGGGGCACTCTAGTCAAAAAAACTCTGAGCTTTCTGATTTACCTGGCACAAGAAAACTATTTCTTCTTGAACTTTACCTCACCTCAGGTTAAAGACTGGTTCATAAAAAAGTAACTAGACAAATTGACACCTGTGTGGAATAATGGAGGCTCAGCAAATTGGCCAGCAACTTGGTTTTGTCCCTGTGCCCCACTTCCTCCTTGTGGAAATGCTGAAGATTAATTATGTAAATTAATATCAGCTCAAGATATGGAAATAAAATTGTAATTAATAGTCATTTAAAAATTAATAGAACTCTGCCTGGAATGGTAGTTCATGCCTGTAATCCTAGCACTCTGGGAGGCCGAGGTCAATGGATTGTTTGAGTTCAGGAGTTCAAGACCAGCCTGAGCAAGAGTCAGACTCCATTTCTAAAAAATAGCTGGACGTTAGGGCAGGTGCTTGTAGTCCCAATCACTTGGGAGGCTGAGGCAAGAGAACTGCTTAAGCCTAAGAGTTTGAGGTTGTTATGAGCTATGATGCCATGGTGCTCTTACCCAGACTGAAACTGTCTCAAAAAAAAAAAAAAATTAATAGAACTCTGGCTGCCCCAGGAACAGGTGTGGAGATGGGAGGGGGTCAAGCTTCAAGGCACCTGGCAGCCTAGTGGCTATGGGGGCTGTGGCCATGTGCTACCCTCCAGTGGGGAGTTCCTATGGGAGGGAGAAAGGAAAATGGATATTTCCTTGGTAAATCTCTGCCCTTGGCTTTGGTAGAAATTGTTCCCTCTGCTTCCTGCCCCACTGTGCCTGGCTACCCTGCAGCAGGGAAGCCAGGTCTGAGAGGGCAGCCAAGTTACTGTCTTGTCTGCAGTTGCTGTCAGAGCTCCTTTTAGGTACCAGGGAAAGAATTTGTAAATTAGAGTCAGCCACCCCCGCAATTCAATTCCAGTGGTACCCTCTGTCTGCCCTCAGTTTCCTAGTCTGTAAAATGGGAAAAGGAAAAATCCCCCATCCCCAACAAATTAATAGAAAATTTGTGTGCCAACTGCTCTATTTGTCTTCATTTGTCCTTAATGACCTTCATGCTACTGGAACTGTTAAAAGTTAAGTCTGAGACCAACAATGAATAATGAAGAACCATATCCAATAAGTTGCATATAAAAAAGTTGCCACTGAATGATACATATACTCTCTGTGTTCAAACTCAATATAGCAATTCCTTCTGCATTTTTATATGATTTAACTTGAAGGAAAAGCACAGACAATTTCTGAAACAGAATTGCAAGGCAATGAACTACCCACAAGGTTTAACAAAGATGGGTAACAATTTATAGCAAAGTAAATTAACTTTTTATAAAGACTTATCTTTAAGTAAGGAGACTAATAAAGACCAGAACTATTCCTTAAGCAAACTATAAAATTCTCCAGTATGAAGACCCCAGAGTCCAGCAGTCTGGACTACCTGGCAATTCAGTAGAAAAGCCAGTGGCCTGCAGTCTGGAGACCTGGGATCCATCCTGGCTAAGCCACTAAGTCATTTCACTGAGCTTGGAAAAAGGTAATTTTCAAGGTCTCAACCAGCTTCTAACACACTTCAAAAAGCAGCTGTCTGCTCCTCTTGACTTTTCCATAACTGGATAGAGACCGCTTCTCACTAGGGCCAATCCTACCTGAGGCTCCCTGTCTGTGTGCCTCAGCACAGTGGTCTTTCTAACACTGTTTCAATGGCCAGTTTATACCAGCCAGTGTCTATGAGTTCTGAACAAAATCACAGGCATTGAAGATGGCACAGTCTCTGCCCACTCTGGGGAATGAGATAAAAATTTAATCTGGTAAAGAGATGGTGGAAAGTGCCACCAGGTTTTTAAAAAATGTATTATTGCCATCATCTCTCTTTGTAAATATTCTCCATGTTTTAATCATATCATGACCTCAAGAACTTGTAGCCAAGGGTACCTCTTTATAAATTAAGTAAGTAAATAAAGGAAGGAACATGATAAATATTGATGTGAATTATAGTTTTCCAAATTGCTAGTAACTGTCTTATATTGGGAATGCAAACTAATATGTTCCTTTTGGAATTAAGTTTGGAGAACACTCAGGGCTCTAAATATTGACCTGCTGTTGGATCCTGCAATTCCTCTATTAGGAGTATATCCAAAAGTCCAAAAATCACTTTTCAAAAAAGATATTTGCAGCAGACTATTCATTGCAGCTCAATTCATAATAACCAAGTCATGGAAGAAGCCCAAGTGCCCATTGATCCATGAATGAATTAATAAATTGTGATATATGTATACCACAGAATACTATGCAGCTTTAAAAAAGATGGAGCCTTTACATCTCTTATGTTTACATGGAGAGACCTGGAACATATTTTGAGTAAAGTATCTCAAAAATGGATGAAAAAGTATCCAATGTACTCAGTACTTCTATGAATCCTACTTATATTTACTCACACTTTGTTATGAAAGATAGAACACAACTATAGCCCAGGATGAAGGAGAGAAATGGAGTGGGAATGGAGGGGGTGGGGAGAGGATAGAAGGAGGGCAAAAGACAGGACCACACCTATGGACCATATTGCAAGGGTATAAGTCAAATCTGTCAAGTGTAGAACATAAATGTCTTAATGCAATAATCAAGTAAATGAGGTGAAAGCTATGTTGATTGGTTTGATGTAACCATGTCAGATTGTATAAAAAAATCAACACATTGTACCTCACATATGCATAAATGTATTCATGATCTATGTGTATTTGACTTAATAAAAAAGAAAGAATAAATAAATAAATAAAAACTTTCAGTAAGAAGAAACAAAACCCAAAAAACATGAATTTATTTGTTTTTTACCTTCACCTAGTTTTAACATACTGCATGGAGCTCTTTGGCATCCAGGCACGTACATGGGGGAAAACTGTAATTTAAAAATACAGTGCGGGGGAGGGGTTCTCAATGCCCCCACACTACAGAGTTTTAGAGAAATCAAGTAGCTACAGTTGAAGTTCTCAATCTTTGCTGCCTCTGGTGTGGATCTCCTCTAAAAACTGTCTCTCCTGATTGAATATCTCCTAACTCCAATAGTGAAAAAACAAAGTTCTCTTTATCAAATACTATTCATTAGAAACTGCCATGCCTTGAAGTGACTTTATACTGTCATTGAAGGCAAATTTACAATTTCCAACAAGGTGTCTGAAAGTTAAAACAAAGAATATTATATAAAAGAGGTTATGAAATGATTTAGAGGTGAAAACTGTCAGGAGGAACATAGTTGTATGTAAATTAGATAGCTATCTGCAAGGGTATACAAAGGCTTAAAGGCTTTTAGTGATTCTAATTTAATCAAGCAATTAATGTTCAATTTAGAAAACAGTATGTGTAGAATTGCACTGAGATCTATATAGAAATTATTTAAAAATAGCTTTAAAAGAAAGGAAAAGAAGTTGAACTTAGATAAAACTGCTTTGAAATAAAAATTTTCTATTCTAGTTTCAGAATGACTGATATTGGCGGATTAATTGTTGATTCTCATTACTGAAAGGCCTTAAAGAACAGAAAGAGAAGTGAGTGGTAGGCATCTATCTATCTATCTATCTATCTATTTTTGGCCAGGATGTATAACCTTTGTTCAGGAAAACACAAACTTCACAATGTAACAAACCCTGCAACAATTTTGCTCACTTTGGATTTAAATTAGAACTCAAATTATCTATCAAAGCACAGGGAATACATCATAGAAGCAACAGGAAATGTATTCTGGTCTGCAGATATTATGGAGGGCCTCAAATAATTACCAAAAAAAAGGACTCATTTTTAATAGTAGAAAGTGCCTGTGCAGGAGAATAAACATCTATAGGAAAGTGAACTTTACGTACAACAGCCTAATAAGCACCAACCAACTTAAGTGCTGTATGATCAGCAACTGAAAATGCAACACAAAATTTTCTAGTACGTCACCATGGCTGGCGCTGGGGGCAGAATATTTGGCACTGGACTTTCGGATGATGTTCTCATGGATCTGGGACCACTCACTCTCATTGTTGCACCTGAAACAGAAGGACAGGTGTTATGGCACTCAAGTATTTTACACATTTGGTCTAATGCTCTAATATATAACACTCAATTTTAAGGAAAAAGAATTTCTCACTTTCCTAAAGAAATGGGCATATGTTTAATTAAATTAGATAAGACTTGTTTCCTGTTGGGTGTAGAAGATTCACACATGGGAAAAGGATAGAAACTCTAAAACGAATCTCTCCAAATATTTTTTAAGTGGCTAAATTCTCTCCTCTCTAAAGTATCACAATGCCATGTGAAAAGTTCTTTATTTCTAGTCCCCCCTTACACACAGACACACAAACACACACTAAACCTAGTCCCAGAAGAAAGGTCTTGATAGAGAAAAAAACAGTTCTCAACAAGTGCTACTGTTTAGAAACTGCTATGGCATTGGCTATATACTGTCATACAACTCTCACTATATTGGTCTCAGAGGAAAGTCCTACTAACCTTAGGGCAATGTGGATACCATTTTCTTGTAGCTGTATTTCAACCAGACCAAGGTAAGAAGAAAAGCTTGGGAGAGCAGTGGGTTTGGTTTACTGTGAATTCCTCTGTGGTCAGGGGGAAGGAGGGCTTAGCTGAGAAGGCTGGATGCCTAAATATATAAGAATAAAGTTCTTTTCTAGGGACTATAAGGAAGGGACAAAAGAGAGAATGGAGCCACATCACTACACTTCTATTAAGTTCTGATGTTTTAGTGTCTTCTGTTTAAAGGGTAATTCTAAGAGAGCTGTGACCACATAACCACTTGGAATGGAGCTTTGGAATAGGGACCAGGTATTCCTCATCCTGATGCAGACACTTGGATAAAACTACTGGATTAAATTTAAGGTAATCTCTTGAAAAATCCATTTGACACTCAAGGGAGACCTACAGCCTTATTCCTATCCCTCCCCCTGTTACAGTCTAGTAGTGTAAAACCCATTGATCCCAGAACACAGGTCCCTACACAAAGGAAAACCATTAGGATCTTTCATTGGTAACTCACAAGTTTCCAGTCTAGCATGGCCATTTCCAGGAGGAAATCCCAGTAAGAGTTACAGCATGTGCCATACAACAGTACGAAGCATTGAATAATTAATTATGTTACTTAATCAGTGACTCTTTGACTCCTTACTATGTCCTTTTCTAACACAGCTATTGTGATGAGTAGTGAAAGGTGAGGTTTTTATAGTCTAAAGCTCTGCATATAACTTTCTGCTTACAGAATTCCTTCCCAACAAAGGAAATGGGAAGAGTTCTAAAAAGGATTACTTGTAACTTTAGCAACTCAGTTGGAAATAAGAAGTGAGAGGTTCTAGCAACAGCACACCCAGCCCTTCCTGTGTGACATGCATACTGTCTCATCTTATCTAACCAACCAGTCAATATATCAGAGAAGTGCCTAGGTGATGAGGATTCAAAAAACTTGTCTTGCTGTCAGTTTTTTCTTGTTACTTTCTAGGTTTACAAGATGAGTAGCTACTTTAAAATCTGACTACAGTCTGTTATACATAATCTATTTCTCCCTTCCTACAAAAAAAAAGCCTTGACAATCACCCCCCTCCCCAAATACATGGGTTAATTTCAGTATTTCTCCAATAAAACATTCATTGGTCTCTTGGTATAGTGGAGCTGGTGATGTCAGCCACATCAGTAGTGACAATCTATATAATTTCACCCACATGTACTCTTCCAACCAAAACATATAATTCTGCTGTCAGACAATTGATGGCTTATTCTTGCCATTCTTCTCCCCTTGCATGCTCTTTAACTATTGGCAGCCTTCATACCTTTGCCTTTAGCCTATTTCCTTCTTACCATATGCTTCATGGACAATGTCATCTACTCCTATAGCTTCAACCACTACCAGAAGCTGTGAAGCTCCAAAATGGTATCTTTAGCCCAGACTCATCTCTATGTCCCTGACCTGCAAAGCCCTAAGACAGCAGTTCTCAACCTGTAAGTTGCGACCCACAGGAACTGTATTAAAAGGCCGTGGCATTAGGAAGGTGAAGAACCACTGCCTAAGAGTCCTTCATTTCTCCTGAACCTGTCTGTTCCCATTAATACTATCTCACTGAGTGGAACTGGTTCACTAGTTCACTATACCCTCCTTGTAGTCATGTGTCCTATAGATTTTGCTATCTTAAAATCTGTTACATCTAACCTCTCCTTTTCATGGTCTTGATTTAGTCATATCATATCTCTTCTGGATTAGTATAATCATTTTCTAACTGGTCTTTCTTTCTTTCTTTTTTTTTTTTTTTTTAGAGACAGAGTCTCACTTTGTCACCCTCGGTAGAGTGCCATGGCATCACAGGTCATAGGAACCTCCAGCTCTTGGGTGCAGGTGATTCTCTTGCCTTAGCCTCCCAAGTAAGCTGGGACTACCGGTGCCTACCACAATGCCTGGCTATTTTTGTTGTTGCAGTTTGGCCGGGGCTGGGTTCAAACCTGCCACCCTTGGCATATGGGGCTGGTGCCCTACTCACTGAGCCACAGGTGCCACCCCTAACTGGTCTTTCAAACATCTTCCTTTCCACAATTTCAATCTGGTCACCCTTCTTAAACCTCTTCACAGATTTCCCCTGTACACAGGTTAGAATGTAGACATTTTTAGGAGGCCTTTTAAAGCAGTCTGCATTAGGGTCCTCTCTAGGCCTGTCTTTTACTTTGAAAAAGCCCAGTAGCCTTATGTCTTTAATCATGTGCATTCCTTGTTTGGTAGCTACAAAGGTTCTATTTTATTAATTTTATTTATTTCTTTTCTTTTTTTAAATATTAAGTTTGGCTGGGCATGGTGGCTTATGCCTATATTCCTAGCACTCTGGAAGCTGAGGCAGGAGGTTCACTTGAGCACTAGAGTTCAAGACCAGTGTGAGCAAGAGTGAGATCCTGTCTACCTAAAAATAGAAAAATTAGCAGGTTGTTATGGTGAGCTGTAGTCTCAGCTACTTAGGAGGCTGAGACAGGAGGATCACTTCAGCCCAGGAATTTGAGGTTGCTGTGAGGTAGGCTGACACCACAGTGTTCTAGCCCGGTAAGAGAGTGAGAATCTGTCTCAAAAATAAAACAAAACAAACAAACAAACAAATAAATATTAAAAATAGGACCCAGTGGGAACCTGCATAGTGGCATCTGCCATGCAGCACCGATAGTCGTGTGCTTCCACTGTGGTCAAATTTTAGAGAGATACCTTCCCAATTCTGTGGACCACTAGAGGGAACCAGACCTTGCCCTGCAGGGGTACCAGAGAAGGAGTGCATCTGCGGTCTCTGAGGGAGAAAACACAAGCTGCAACATTAACCCTAGGCTTGGAATAGACTCAGGTGGAACACTCCCCACTTTCCAATGAGCACTGGAGGGAGTCAGGCTTCAGCTCTATCCACCTGCTGGTGTCAGAGTGCAGCAGTCTGGCCAAGGAGGCATTGATTTCCCTTTGAATCTGTCAGGCACAAATCCCTTGTGTATTTGCTCATTGGAGGGAACTGGGCCACAACCATGTGGGATTACCAGTGACTGGGTGGGGCAGAGGTGCAAGGTGGGGAAGGAGGCACCACCCCCCTGGATGAACTCTTTTGCTGGGTGGGCCTTTTGACTCCACGGAGCACCAAAGTGTGTCACACTTGAGCTGTCATTGGATCCCAGCTGTCTGGTTGCTGGAGCCCTTTTGAGCTCTCCCACTTGAACAGTGATTGTGCTGCCTGGGACAATTGGTTTAGAACTCTTGACCTGGATCAGCCACCCAGGGACCCTCCAAGGCTGAGTCCTAGTTGTATAGTGGGAGGAACTGATTCTCCTCTTTCAGTTGTTGCCCATAGGGGTTGGGGTGTCTTAGTTACTTGTATCTCTCCCCAGCTGAGATTTTAGCCCAAAGCCACTGATTCACTTGGATTGAATAGAGGCTGGCTGAATACAAGACAGAGCCACCTAGCTCCATCAGGTCCCCCTGAGGACCAATCAGGTCCCCTGAGTCTCAGGATGCAGGACTGAAAGGGACCTTTGTAAAGCTGTAGGGGAAAAGCCATAGTCACCAGTCCCAGCTCTTTGGGAAAGGGCTGGTAAACTACAACTTCTAGAGCCTTCAATCCAATTTCCCCTTACCAGCTTCTCTAGCCAAACAATGAAAATCAATCATGGGGTGGAACCAGCAGAACTCTGGCAACAGGAATAACCAGAGTAGATCAACTCCCCCAAGGAACAACAAAGCAGACACAACAGAAGATGCCATTCATAAACAAATGGCTGAAATGACTGAAATAGAATTCAGAATATGGATGGCAAATAAGATTAATAGAATGGAAGTAAAGTTGGAATTAGAAATTCAAGGAGTAGTTCAAAAGTTGTCTCAAGAAATCATTGAACTCAAAGACAAAATCTCCAAGGATTTAGACATCATGAGGAAAGAAACTGTAGGCCTCAAAGACCCGAGAAATACAGTAGAATCCCTCAGTAATAGAATGGAGCAGGCAGAAGAAACATTCTCTGACATTGAAGACAAAGATTTTGAATGCTCCCCAACACTCAAAGAGGCAGAGAAGTGGAGAGCAAAAATGGATCACTCCCTGAGAAAGTTCTGGGACCACTCTAAAAGATCAGACCTTCACTTTATAGGAATTTCTGAAGGAGAAAAGGATGGTCCTAAAGTCATCGATGCTCTACTCCAAGATACAATGGAGGAGAATTTCCCACTCATGTCAAGAGATACTGAAATTCATATAGCAGACAGTTTCAGAAGCACAGCATGACTTAATCCAAATTAAAACATCTCCTAGACACATTATAATTAACTTTTCCAAAGTTAATGTGAAGGAGAAAATTCTGCAAGCAGCCAGATGCAAGAAAATCACAAACTATAAGGGGAAGAATATTAGAATGACTGCATATCTCTCAGCTAAAACTTTTCGAGCCAGAAGAGCATGGTCATTGACATTAAATCTCCTAAAAGAAAACAACTTTCAGCTCAGGATCTTGTATCCAGCTAAACTGAGTTTCATTTGTG